GTTCTTGATATAAATAGGGTTTTTTTTTTTCATTTAGAAAATACCTATTAAGTCCTGTGATTGCATTTTTATTCAATTCGAATATTATTTGCAAATTTACCAACAAAAATCACAGCCGAGTCGACGAAGGTCGAGCAATCTCGAACGAACTGTTAAAGTATCAAACATAAAAACTGTATTGAAAATTAAAAGATGCTTAAATCAGCCGACCATTTAATATGAATTCCCGCTTCGTTTAAACGCGACACTACCGTTTTTAAGATACACTCATCTGCTCAGCAGGAACTTTGGGGGATGTAGTAAAGTTAAATGCGTCTTGCTAAAGTTTAACGCGCGAATATTATTTATTGAACGCAGTTTTTCTCACATGTGCACGTACCTATGATTCTGATGTAATGAGCAAACGTTTGTATGAATAAAATATATATATATATATTTATTTATTTGCTGAATAGGTTTCAAATTACTTGCTTTCACAAGTGTAGTTTGTGTTTACGTAGGCAATTATACACGGTATTTATTGGTTTTTAGTATACTTTCTTTTTCGTCTGCGTGCTTAAAGCGCGAAAATGCTTTTAAGAAAATTTCTATGTTTGCATAGATACGTATGAAAGCGTTCGTTTTTTTTTTATTGGTTTGTTTTTTGTTGTTGTTGTTGTTTTGTTTGTTTGTTTTTGTTGTATTTTTTTTTTTTTTTGCTCACCTATTATCGTATATAAATAAATGTATATGTATAAGGATTCTGAGCGAAATCGTGCGAGTCTGTATGTTTGTCTATAGCGTATGTATGTTATTAGATACAGTTATATATAGACACAAGAAAAAACTGAACAGATCTGCTTGTTGACAGAAGACGAGAGTGTGTTCGTGTGCGCGTGCGCGAGCGCGTGCGCCTTCGCAACCACTGTGTGCGCCTGATCCCAAAGGTTGTATTCTGCGAGTATATAATGGTTCCTGCTTCAGTGGATTCATAAATGAATCATTTAAACTGTATATAGATGCATGTAACGCAATGTGTAACGCTAAAAATTCCGTTTTATTTTTATTATTAGCATTATTATTATTCCGTGGTTGTATCAGCTTGCCCGGTTTTAAAGCACTTTCATTGAAAAACCACGCACGCAATGTATATTTTACGCTTCTGTTTATAGAGCGTTCCGTCGCGATGATGAGAACTGTATACGGTGTGTATAAGGTGTGTATAGGGACAGTTTTTCCAAGTTGAGTCTTCTAGTTTAAGAAGGTGAGAAATATCCAGTGCTTCGACTGCATGCGGGAGAATTCCGCCTTCGTCGCTGTCGTCAAGAGACGCGCTTGTGTAAGACGCTTGCAACGGAATCGTGCAGAAGTTACCGGCTTTTCTTTGAGGAAGCTGTTTGGGAGGTGTGCGTGTGTGTGGGGGGGTAGTTTTCACTGAGATGCCTTTCTCCGAAGAGGCCGGGAACAGAAGCTGGCTTGTAAAAGGTCGGGGGGATTGCGGGAGGCGAAGGCGAAGGCGGAGGCGGAGTCAGGGGCAAGGAATAAGGGACATAAAGCAACGCTTTCGCTAGGTGTATATACAGTAGTTGCAGAAGAAAATGAAATGTGTGTGTGTGTGGGGGGATTCTGGTTTGGTGAAAGGGGGGGGGCAAATAAAGGAGTGGGAAGTTTATGAATGGTTCCTTAATATTGCTCCAGGAAACTACGACATGTGTGTCTGTGCGTGTGTTTGTGTGCGCGCATGTGTGTGTTTGCGTGCAAGGGGGGGGAGAATGTTTGCGTGTGCGTATGTGTGTGTGTGTGTGTATGTATGTTTGCGTACAATGGGGGGGGGATAAAGAATGTCTGTGATGCGTGTATGTGCTTCTATACGTGGGCGCTTGTGCGCGCGAGGTTGGATCAATAAGTCCGTTGCTTGTACGTACGTAGATATTAACTCAATTTGTATCTAAAATTTTCGCTGTATCATCTTCGATCCTTGTCGTTAATATTCGCCGATGAATTAAGTGCGTTGACAAAAAAAAAAGAAAAAGAAAAGGAGATTATGTTGAAAACTAAATACGCTATGCGTTCAATTAAGTGATTTCTCAACATTATGTAGCGATTTTCCAAGCATTGCTTAGATGTGGCACAAGGCCGAAAGTATGGGGCACCCAGTGAGGATAGAACTCACTACTTATTCGTAATTGTGCTAGCGAGACACGCTTGTTAACCATTACACCGCCTCGGACTGCCCTTATCATCATTACGTATGTATCAATATAAGTGCATTTTTTTGTTGTTTTTTTTTTTTTGATAAAATTTCACCCATTACAAGAGCTGCTCAATATTTTTGTAATTTGCAACAAAATGCAGATTCTGAGCGAGGTGTGCTATGTATGCTGGTGTATTTGTACGCATGCGTATGTGTTTTTCTGTATTTGTAGGTAGAATTGTTGGATTTTTAGAACATTTAATGTCGGGTCTCCATTATGTTATACACAGGTCTATAGGTAAATATTAGTAGGGTTTATACTAAAGTTAACCGGTAAATATTGGCCGAATTTATACTTGATTCTAAATGTGACTTAAAATACTTGGAGTAATGGATAGCATCTTGGATTGAAGAATCGGAGAAATCCATTACATTAACTTACCTTCGGAAAGGTATGAATCCTCTTCTTCTACCAGCCAGCTATGGGTAAATAGCAGGACAAACCAGGTTCTATAGCCTTGGATGACAACTCGTCTACCTAAGAAAGAAATGGCAACTTACTGCGGAGGAAAAAAATCTGCCTCGTCAGTCATGTATCGAAAGATACATCATCGCCTAAGCGTGTATCATGCATGGCACATAACTGACTGATTATACTTGGGTCTATAAGTAAAAAATGAACGTGTTCTTTTTACTTGAGTCTATAGGCAAATATTAGGTTTATACTTGAGGCTATAGTTAATCATTGGTCGCGTTTTTTTTTATTTTTAATCCGCAGTAAAAAAAGTGTTGGGATTTATTCTCAAGTCTATAAACACTGGTCGCCCTTTTATTTTTAATCCGCAGTTAAAAAAATGGTCGGATTTATACTTAAGTCTATAAGCGTTGGTTGCGTTTTGATTTTTAATCTGTAGTTATAAATTGGTCGGAAATATATACTTAAAAATTGGTCGTCGTCCTGGCTATAATGATAAACTCTGTCCGACAGCAAGGCCACTGATCAAAAGGTTTTGAAGATGGTGAAACAGCGTCTTAGTTGCTATAGTTCCCATGTCTACCTTATCCTGGGGTGGTAGCACTTGTTAGGGTCCCAGATATAAGCAAATAATTAACTCCCAAACTGGGGTCAAAACCCTATAAAAGTATAAACATAGATTTTTATAGTAAAAATACCAATACATTTTTTTTTAAATTACCAGCGATACATTTGATTATCGACAAAAACCCTCTTTACAAAAATACTTCAATGAAACCTGGTCTACAAACTGATTTCATACAAATAGTTATTCTATTCATAAAAAACTATCCTAAAAATCTTGCAGGCATTAAATAGACCATTGGGGTTGATAAGCCGTAAAACAAAATAAACGAAACCTAAACAATACTGGTCGAATTTATACTTAATGTAATGACAAAAGTTCGCAGGTACAGGCTTTAAGAAAGCTTTATTCAACTGAGAATACAAGGTTCGCGCATAGTGTCTTTTTATAGCCCCAGTAAACAGAAATAGCTCTTTCAAAGAGGAGAGTAACGAAACAAGGGGAGACCACTCTTGATTATTCATAACGCTTAATTCTATAATCGAGCATTGTTCAGTTTTGTACTTGAATTTAAAGGTAAACTTTGACCGGGTTTATCCTTGAGTCTATAGGTAAACATTAGTAGAGTTTATACTCGACTTTAGAGGTTAACTTTGGCCAGATTATTTGCGTTTCTACGTTTGTATGTGTAGCCATACACGTATGTATGTATATATTAGTATATGCGTAATAACCGTGTGTGTACCTTGTGTATCTGTATGCATGTTTGTGCGTGCACATGTATTTCTGCGTGAAAGGTTCCAAAAACAGTGAAGATTCTCTTACTTGGGGTTTCAATGCTAAAGTCGTTAAGGATCACGAGGCCTGAAAGGGCCTGGCTAAGCGTGGCCTTGGGAAAAAGAAATAATAGTGACGGACTACACTAGTCATTTGCAACTTCTTTTCGATCAAAAAGTTAACCATAAGGTTACTTAGATTCGTCCAAGATCGTAAGACGAGCAAAGACCTTCAGTGTGAGCGACAAAATTAATTTCAAGTCGGAACTAATTTCAACACGGAATTAATTTCAAGTCGGAACTAATTTCACCTCGGAATTAATTTCAACACGGAAATAATTTCAACTCGGAATTAATTTCAACTCGGAATTAATTTCAATTCGGAATTAATTTCAACTCGGAACTAATTTCACCTCGGAATTAATTTCAACTCGGAAATAATTTCACCTTGTAATTAATTTCAACTCTGAACTAATTTCAATTCGGAATTAATTTTAACTCGGAACTAATTTCACCTCAGGAATTAATTCCAATTCGGAATTAATTTCAACTCGGAATTAATTTCAATTCGGAATTAATTTCAACTTGGAACTAATTTCAACTCGGAATTAATTTCAACTCGGAATTAATTCCAATTCGGAATTAATTTCCCCTCGGAATTAATTTCAACACGGAACTAATTTCACCTCGGAATTAATTTCAACACGGAACTAATTTCAACACGAAATTAATTTCAACTCAGAATTAATTTCAACTCGGAATTAATTTCAACTCGGAATTAATTTCAACTGTATTTAAAATCAAATTTATCAATTTCCCTGAATTCCTAAACAGAATGCAATGAGTTGGTGTTAATATTTTTATTTAGAATTAAAAATCCTTATTAGACATGATAATTCAAAATTCATCTTTTCTGTAACTTTCATTCTTTTTTTCCGAGTTGAAGGTAGTTCCGAGTTGGAATGAATTCCGAGGTGAAATTAGTTCCAAACTGAAATTAGTTCCGAGTTTAAATTAATTCTGCACCCCTTCAGGGTGTATGCACTCGTATGCACTCGTATGCACAGGCGTGGTGTTGAATGTGTGACGGACAAAGAGCTTGGTACGTGACAAGATGAAGCTCGACATTAAACGTAAAATAAGATATAATGGGGCAAGGCTTCCAAAACGTATCGATGCTTCAATGTTAAGGGATTCTGCTATTCGTAAAGATCTCCAAATGGCAGTCCAATTCTTCAAAAAACGCTAAATCATCGCTACAGCACAAAATCCGTCAGATGTAAAATCAGTGGAAGTTAGATATTTCCTTGCAAGCTCAGAGTCCTTTTCTTTTAAGCATTTCACCCTAAGGAAGGCAATAAAGCCACTAAGACGCAACTGGTTACTGGGTGATAGTAAATACGAGAAAAAATACTATTAAGGATAGAGGACAATAAAAGAATAAGAATTAAAAAGACAGAAGATAACCATTGACATTGCATTTAAATTATTGAAGATCAAAGTTGACTTGAAAGCAAGAAGCCGGAAGAGAGATCCACAAGCGAGAAGTGTGATAGAAGAAACTGTTAGCATAGAACTTACGGTTACATGAAACTTTAGTATAGAACTTACGGTGACTGTAAAATGACGAGACCTTGCCGCCAATCTAGTACTGCGCTTAAATTCATAAAGTCTTGGTGAGATAGAGGAAAGATCACCAGAACAATTACTATGAAAGTTTTTATTAAAAAAAAAAAAAAAAAAAAAGGTAGAGGGAAGGTATATTGCGACAGTGGGAAAGGGACTGAAGCCGAGATGCCAGGTTAGGACCGTTAAGATTACGATCGGAAGGACTCCAAAATGTTATATTTCCTGATTATGCAGACCTTTGGTCCACAGGCCTCGTCTGTGATAGCACTCAACCTAAATGACGGGTTTGTTCTTTTCAAGGACCTGTAAAATGTAATTTTTTTTTTAAAACAAAAAAACACACATATTTTGGTGTTTTAATATTAATTTTAATAATTCTATAAAAATAAACATTTATCGAAAAAAAATTCAAAACATGACAAAGTATTTGATATGTTTGTCTGTTTATTGCCTCCTTTCCATTTTTTATTGTTTTATTGTCTGTTTATCAAATCACTTATGGTAGAGATAGGAATAGTTGACTGATATCATATTTCCTCAACACTACCCCAGTCATACTCCTCACCCCAACTCTCCAGTCGACTAGTTATGGCTGCCACTTTCTTTGATTTTCGCCGACTTTAAGTCAGGCTAAATTTAATTAGCCCTTTTTCAAGTGATACATTCCACTAAAAAACGTACAGTATGGAATAAATTATTTAAAACTGCCATTTGAAAACAATAAATTGAAATAAAAATGTGTTATTTTAAAAACAGAGCATAAGAGTTATTAGAGATGTTTAAAAGGTACGTTAATTTTTTTTCATTCTTTTCATTACTTTCTTTTTTTTTTTTTTTTTTTTTTTTCTTTATTTCTTCTATATTATGAACAATATCAACGAAATGTATTTTGGTGAATATTTTGATGCGCGGAGTTAAAACAATTAATTTTGGATCCGGTTGAAGTCAAGAATCAAAACAATGCACTACAAAAGATTTTTGTTGGTTTGAAATAGATATACTTGAATGTTGACTCACTCGGGCTAAGCCCGACAAGCCTGACCCCTGTAGTCCCCACTGACGGATTTGCACTAAAATTTACATGCACATGCTCCAAGTTAGCGTGAAGGCCAAGACCAACTTTGCATTTTCCAACTCCCATCGATAGTGGAAATAATCGTTTTTTTCATATTTCTTCGGCAGTTTTCATGTAGTTTGCGGCCATTTTCTACTGGCCAGCGTGAGAGCCAACAGCTGACTGACACGAATGTTGACTAGCATGCTAGCATGCAAAAAAAATCGATAGCTGCATTCGTCACAAATGGGAAAAATTTAAATCTGCATGGCACTTTACTCCAATTGGCTCATTCGCTTGCTTAAACTCAACGTTGATTCTGATTCCGCAGAACTGAGTTGAGGGTGAAAAAGTATTTGTTGTTAACATTTTTTTTCATTCGGTTTTTCCAGTTACGAGTTCTTTTTTAAAGCTGATCGTTTTGTGTTCATTTTGTTTAGTTCTTTTTTTGTAATAGATTTAATGTTTAGTATAGAGCTTAGAAAAAATTCGTAGTGTGAGATAGGCAAGAAGTAAGGCATGTAGCAACATCAGCACGTCAAAGGGCACTCCTTTAAAGACAAAAATATTTTAAGTCAAGTGATAGCTGTATTAGTCATACTATTTTTGAATCAAGCACCGGGCCATGAAATATATATATATATATATATATATATATATATATATATATATATATATATATATATTAATAAATGGTTAGGAGGATTTGATAATTATATTTAAATAATTCCTCGAGTCTGAAAGAAACCTCCACAGAATGCACTGGACGGCCGTTTCGTCCTATATTTGGGACTCATCAGTAGTGCGCATCTACTATCGAGAATTGAAAACCTGACAGTTAGGTTGTCGAACAAATATTATACCAACTGCTCCACCGTGGCTTGGTGACGAAGAGATTGCCAATCAGACTCAATATAGCGCCGCTCGCTCACTTATGCCGTGGTGGAACTCTTACTGAGTTCTCTGTAAACATAGGACTGTGCTTCCTGGAGCCACGATTACTATCAATAAGCCGCTCACTCTAGAGCATTAGAAGCCGGTTCAAGCAATGGAGTACATGATAGAAGTTGTTAGAAGGATTTGATAATTATATTTAAGTAATCCATCGAGTCTAGAAAAACCTCAACAGAATGCAGAAAGCACTGGACGTCCAGTGCTTTCTGCATTCTGTTGAGGTTTCTTTCTTCTTCTTTATATATATATATATATATATATATATATATATATATATATATATATATATATACATTAGAATTGATTTTTTTTTATAAATCTTACATATTTTTATCACTTTAAACGATATTTTTAGTGTATTATCTTACTTGGGTTGGCCCTCCGTTCATTTATGAAACAGTATATTTATTTATTCCTGTATTATTAGAAGAAAGAAGGGCAGTGGAAGCTACCGTTACACCCAGCACGCCTTAAGCCACTTGGCCACGAAGAGCATGCGATCAGGCCGAGCCAAATTTAATGCCTTTCAAGCGAAATCTTTCCAGTCATAAAAATCGCTCGAAGTTTTACATATTTGCATAGTTTCTTACCCAAACGTAAAAAAAGAGAATTTTACTTTTTTGTTTTTTATTAATCCGACAGATTTTATGACTTTAAACGTTATTTTTAATGGATTCTCGTATTTCAGTAGGCGTTCCGTTTATTTTTTAAACAATATATTTATTTATTTTCGTCCACCGTCCTGAATGTTCGAGAAAACTTAAAACGTTCCTTTACCAACACCTTTCGTTCCCTGAGAGATTCCGTCAAGGTAAATTCATAGATTTTATTTTACGATTTCTATTTATAAACAGAAGTAGAGGGGAGGAAGAATAACTTTCAGGTCTGACATACCTGACGTACCTATTCTATTATCAATAGACTCTCCCACACATAATAAGTAGTAGTAGTAGTAGCGGTCACCAGTTGGGCTCAGTGGTGTTGAGCGAGTCAGTCGATATCGGACATTGAAGTACCAACCATCACAACTAGATTGCTGCGTCATTAACTCTTATTTCAAGTTCCTAACGTTTTGTACGTCGAACCTAATTTAGGACGACTTATTGAAATACAAGCCTCCACTGTGAAAACTACTCTACAACAAGGTCTAAGATTTTACATTTTTTTAAAGCGTCTAGAATATTCTTAAAGTCCACTGTGTAAAGAAACGCAAGCTAAGTGTTGTTATTTATTGTCTAATAAACGAAAGTGTGTAAACGTTGTTGTTACTGAATTACCATTTATTTTTTTTATATATTTATTTTTTAGTTGAAAGGGGAGTCAATCAACGCCCTCATAACACTATAAAATCTCTGATGTCCGCCATAACTAGCACAATGTCAAAAATAGATACAGATAATCTGATTCACACATGTTTCAGACGTCATACTGAAATCGCCATCAGTGGATTCGTTCAGGAGATGCGCCAAGGAGAATCTTGATATTATTCATGTCCATAAAGACATGTAAAGTTATCATACAAACCTCCTCAAAGAACTGAGCATATATAT